TTTGGTTCCTCTGCCTTTTCTAAAACCAGCTTGAACATCTGGAAGTTCAGTTCACATACTGCTGAAGCCTGGCTTGGAGAATTTTGAGCATTATTTTGCTAGTGTGTGAGACAAGTACAATTGTGCGGTAGTTTGAACATTCTTTGGCACTGCCCTTCTTTGGGATTGGAATGCAAACTGACCTTTTCCAGTCCTGTGGCCACTGCTGAGTTTTCCAAATGTGCTGGCATACTGAGTGCAGCACTTTAGCAGCATTATCTTTTAGGATTTGAAATAGCTCAAATGGAATTCCAAAACCTCCACTAACTTTGTTCATAGTGATGCTTCCTAAGGCCCACTTGACTTCGCATTCCAAGATGTTTGGCTGTAGGTGAGTGATTACACCATCGTGTTTATCTGGGTCATGAAGATCTTTTTTGTGTATTCTTGCCACCTTTTCTTAATATCTTCTGCTTCTGTTAGGTCCATACCATTTCTGTCCTTTATTGTGTCCATCGTTGCATGAAATGTTCCCATGGTATCTCTAATTTTCTTGAAAAGATTCCTAGTCTAGAAGTTAATGTCCAGGCGACCTCCAATGCTAGGTTATACGAAGGACGTAAGAATTCACCTTCTTTCTCTCTTTCTTTCTCCCTCGCAGTGCTTCACTTTGGAATCCAGTCACCAATTTGTGAGGAAGCCAGGGGCCCATGGCAGGCCATACACAGGTGTCCCAGTGACAGCTCCTGACCTGACGGCCAGCAGCAAGTGCCACACGTGTGAATGAACAACCTGTGGACGATTCCAGCCCCAGGGACTCAAACATCATGGCTCAGAAACTAGTCATTCCCCATTGTACACACTTTGAATTCCTGGCCCTCATAAACCATGAGAGATAATACAGAATTATTATTTAAGCCACTAAGTTTGAGGATAATTTGTAGATAATTAATATGTATTATAGGTCTGCATATATGTGCATTATGTGTTTGTGCATACATATATTTCCTACCTCTGTCCGCTGAAAAATTCTAGAAACAATGATAACCCAGGAGCTATGAGCATACCTAGCATGCAGATCTTGTTTTTGGAATAGCATTCTCCTCTAAAGAAATAGCTGATTCCAGGGCTGGGAGAGGAAGTACAAGATGAGCTTGGAACATCTTATACAACAGAGTGCTCAAGTATGTCTAAAGGACCAAGAGCCAACTGGAAGGGGCTCCCATGGCCATATCTGGGGACATGTGAATATCCAAATAAATAATGATCGTAAAGGATTATAACCCACTGAACAAAACAGGAATCTAAAAGTTCATACTGATATATTGAATAAGTGATTGAATAGGAGGGAAGAGAAAGCTTTCCTTTCTGTAGGCTGTCAACTAATATTGTTTATTAATAAGTAAAAGCCACTTATTAATTTATAGGGGAGAAATCTGACAAAACCAAGTGGTAAAAATTAAATTACATCAATACATATGATAGCACATGCCTCCTGATACGATGCACTGAGATCACAGGATCACCTCTTGAATATTCTTGCTAAAGGCACATGACCTGAACCTAATGATGAAGTTACATCAGGCAAGTCCAGCAGTGAGGGACATGCTACAAAGTAATTGATCTGCAGTCTTCAAACGTGTCAAGGTCAGAAAAGTCAAAGAAAGTCTGAGGAACAGGTCCAAACTGAAGAGACTAAAGAGACACGATGGCTAAACAGAAAGTGTTATCCTGAACTGGACCCTGAGCCTACAAAGAATATAACTGGGACAACCAGCAAATTTTGAGTGAGGCCTGTGAATTAGACGGCAAGTGTATCAATGTTAATTGATGGTTGATTATGTGGGACGATGTCCCAGTTTGTTGGAAATTCGTGCTGAAGTGCTAAGGCTGAATGATACAGTATGTTTGCATCTGACTCTCAAATGCTTAAAACATATGAATTTTATGGAGAGAGAGAATGGTAATACAAATATGGTAAACAGTTAACTGGGGAATCTGAGTGAGAGCGTACATAGTTCTCTGTACTACTTATGCAACTTTTCCTGTAAATTTTTTTAATGGAAGGATAACTGCTTTACAATGTCTGTTAGTTTCTGCTGTACAACAATGCGAATCCACTCTAAGTAAACAAATGTCTCCTCCCTGTTGAGCCTCCCACCTCCCCATCTCACCCCCTAGGTCCTCCCAGAGCACCGGTCTGAGCTCCCGTCCACTACAGCAGCTTGTCACCAGCTATCTGTTTTACAAACACGTGTATATACGTCAATCCTACTCTCTCAGTTCATTCCACCATCTCCTTCCCTCGCTGTTCCACAGGTCCATTCTCTACGTCTGTGTCTCTATTTCTGCCCCGCAAATAGTTCACCAGTGCCATTTTTCTATATTCCATATTTATGTGTTAAAATGCAATATTTTTCTCTTTTAGACTCACTTCACTCTGTATGACAGTAAAAGGTTGTTCCCCCCCTCCCCAAAAATAGGCCTTCCTGGTTTTGTTGTTGGTCTTTTGACTTTAAAAGCTTTTCTAAAAATACTTCAATTTATCTAGCTTTTCCCTCTTGGCTTTCGGGTGATGTGTCTTGCTTGGGGTAGTCATTTGAAGAGGGTCCCTGAGTCCACAGCTAATTAAAGAGGAAAGGTGGTAAGTTTGACCCCACTTCTACAAGAGAAATACCAACGGCACTTTTAAACAGCAGCTTTTAACAGGAGCCACAGCTTAACAGATGGAAATGGGGAGTCCCACAGCTTTGGTGCTCCAGGCATTTTCAGCTGAATTTCTGGCAAACATCTCAAATTCAGCAGAGCTAAAATCTAGCTAATCATTTGCTTCCAACCAGTCACTTCTTTGGACTTCCCTATTTCTGACAGTCAGGTGTCCAAACTCAGGAGTCACTGTTGTGTCCTCTCTTTTTCCACATCTAACCAGAAACTGACATTCTTTACTCTTGGTGTTTTACCACCTCTCTATTCCAGACCCTCATCCTTAAACCCTGAATTGTCACTAGAGTCATCTCCATTTATCGCCCAGGTGCTGCTCATCAGTAACCTAATCCTGTAATAGAATTCTCAAGGACTTACCTCCCAAAACACACACACAATGACCTTGAATTATTCATTAAATATAGTGTTACTTTAAACTGTATTGAAACATAAAACTGAATATCAACTCCTTAGTGCTCTCATTCAATTCTAAAATCAAAACAAGGACTTCCCTGGTGGTCCAGTGGCTGGGACTGCATGCTCCCAAAGCAAGGGGCCCAGGTTCCATCCCTGGTCAGGGAACTGGGTCCCATATGCTGCCACAAAAGACCCCTGTGTGCCAACAACAAAGATCAAAGATCCTGAGTCCCCCAACTAAGACCTGGTGCAGCCAAACTAATTAATTAATTAACATTTTTCAAAAAATTCAGAGCTGTCTTGAACATTTTTCATCAGGTGTCTTTAAAAAAAAAATCAAATCAGAACAAATTTACTAACAAAATACAAACAGAAGCATAAAAACTAATAAAATTCAAGTAACATTGAATTTGACTCACCCCATAGCGGTGGCATATTGATTGGTCTTTTTGGAATTTCGGGTGTCTGTACTATCAGAGGCACTGATGACCCATTTTTCTACCATTGTCTTCTACTGAAAGTTTTACAAAACTTCAGCTAGTACAGTCCACACACGAGGAAACTGGCCTTCACTTTGACATAGATGCGTCATTTATGGATTCATTCCTTTAATACTCTTGTCAGTTTGTGAAAAAGTAACTTGGTTTTATAAATTCAGATACAGATATAGGCAATGAAATCATGGCATCATATGGAAATGAGAAGAGAAAGTGAAAGTGTTAGTAGTCACTCAGTCTGACTCTTTGCGAGCCCATGTGCAACCCCATGCAGGCTCCTCTGTCCTTGGAATTCTCCAGGCAAGAATACTGGAGTGGGTTGCCATTTCCTTCTCCAAGGTATCTTCCCAAGCCAGGTGTCGAACCTGGGCGCCACAGGCAGATTCTTCACCATCTGAGCCACCAGGGAAGCCCTCATATGGAAATACTCATATGGAAATAAATGGTCATCTAGGTCTGAAATTTCATATATTAGAATTTGAAACATTCAGAGCAGCATTATTTACAGTAGACAAAAAGTGAAGCAACCCAAAGTGTTCATTAATGGATAAGTGTATAAACATTTGAAATGTGCAAAAAAAAAAAAAAAAAAGGAATACTATTCAGGCTTTAAAAGAAAGGAAATTCTGACACATGGATAAACCTTGAGGACATTATGCTGGGTGAAAGAACCTGGTCACAGAAGGATAAATACTGTAATTCCACTTGTATGAGGTACTTAGTCAAATTCATAGAGATAGAAAGTAGGTTGGTGGTTACCAGAGGCTGGGGTGCTGGGAAATGAGGAGTTAGTGTTTAATGGGTAGAGTTAAAGTTTGGCAAAATGAGGAGTACTGTGGAATGTAGGTGATGACTGTACAATGTGAGTGTACTTAGTATTACTTAACTGTGCACTTAAGATCGTTAAGATGGTAGATTTTATGTGTATTTTACAATAATTAAATTTAAAAAAATTTAATGTTGGGACTTCCTTGGCAGTCCAGTGGTTAAGACTGTGCTTCCACTGCAGGGGACACAGGTTCCATCCCTGACAGGATAAGTTGGATCCCACATGCTGTGGGATGCAGTCAAAAAAATTTAATGTTACCGTCAGGTGAAAGATCATTATTTTTCAGTGCTTGTAGACAGTTTCTGGACTCTAGGGCTCTGGATGTATATATATACATATATATATATATATATATATATATTTAAATTAGAAAAAAAAAGCAGTTGTCAGGACAAGAAAGATTTCAGGACTGAATTCAAAGGGAACTATCTTGTAGGAGACCCTAGTCCTACTTAATGGAAGTTTCCATGATGATAGCAGTAATGTTATTTGATTGTAAATGCCTATGATCAAAGCACCAAGAACCCGGGCTGTTTCCAAAATCCTGCTTGAATATGACTTACCTAAAAGACATGTGCACAAACACAAATAACTTTATTCACATGGTACAACAGTGTCTGAGTAGACAGTTTCAAGGACACTTAATACAATCGATTTCTTGAACTCACATTTGAGTTGCCCTGGGTATTTTACTTACAGAATTTTGCACATAGTCCACCTTTCCTGCACAAAGGTAAAATATTATCCATATTTGCTTAATTCCCCATTATTTTGCTGTTTCAACATGATTTCGTACCCCCAGTCATTTCATTGTTAGTCTAAGATTACATTTCTTTTGCTCTCAGCCTTTTTGGAGCTTCACTTTCTCTCTTTATGTAATCGAGTATAGCTTCGAGCTATAGGATTGTCCTTTCCAAGGTCCACAACGATTACCTCCCTAGAAAATGTTACTCCTTTTAAGGGTCTTTTATGGTTATCAACAACTGAAGGACTTCCAGTGACAGGTATGAGTGGTTTTTGCAAATAGTCATCCTGTAAGAGAATGTAACAAATAGTATCAATGATAAATTTATGAATACAACAAGCCCTGCTTTTAAAAAATATGAGTTATATATACATTGTTAGTAAGAAACAGAAAAAGGATTTCTAAATGATACAGAAAAGCAGTAATAATCCATAAAGATAAAATTTTCATATTTCTATGGTTATAAAAGCACACACTGCTATATTCAAATAGAGTCTGGCAACATGTGTTATTTTCTCTACAAAGGAGTTAAACCCAAGAGCCACCTGGATCACCATTCTGTCTCCGAGTGGTTATGGGTCTCATGTTAGGAGGACATGTGAGTTGTTGTTATTAGGCAGCCCCAAATATGGAGTTCAAGAAGACCCTGGCAATGTTTACAGGCTATTGTAGAAGGAACCCAGAAGTAGAGCAGATGTTTGGCATCTGGTCCTGAGCCTGGCCATGGAGGAATGACTTCAACAATTCATCTTATTTTCTCATTCGTAACTTGAGAGTGCTGGCTCCCTAAATGATCTCCTCCAGCTCTAACATTTTAGGATTCTGAATAAAGCAAAATGAAAGGGAATTATTAAGAAAACCATAAATGTAAGGATGAAGATGGAGCAAGTGTCCAGGCATGGCATGTGAAATTGGTTTAATAAAAAATGAACCAATAAGCTAAGAAGAGTGGTTTAAATGATTGTCAACACTGCACTCCTTCCAGATACAAACCTAAGTTACAAACAAGACCATCCTTCAATATACCTAGCCAAGAAATTTACCTCTTCTTTAAACACTAAATGCCTCTTAAGAGTAGAAAAGCCTATCACCTCTTGACCATTTTCTCCAGCATTCTCAGGCTTTTGTTTCTCTTTTGTTTTGTTCTCTTCTTCACCCTCCACATCCTCTCTATTTCCTAAGGGTGTGGTCATCGCTTCTTTACTCCGTCTCTGGACAAGAATGCCATGCCTTGCAGGTGCAGGAGTCCTAGAAAATCAATCAGCAATGTTTTAAAAATTTATGCATCTTAGCCCTCATGGTCACACACAAAAATGGCATTCCACCACATCCTAAGGTGCAGACTTACTTTTCTTGGTCGTCTAAATCATTCATCCCTGTATTAGCAGCTGGACAATCTTCACCTTCATTTCCTGTACAAGGACCTTTTTCTGTCTCTTCATCTGTCCTGCTTTGGGAACTATAATCACAAAGAAGAAAGTGTGGAAAAGAAAGAAAGGTCTTGATGTTAAGACTTGGAAAGGAATTTCACTTTTAAGCAGGAAATTTGCATTTCTAAAACCCTGAAATAGAAAAAACAGATAGTTACAGCATTATTATTTGGTCTATTTTAAATTGCTTTATATTATTACTAGATACATTTGCTAGTGTGACTTAAAATCTGATCCCAATTTATCAGCATGGATTTATACCATTTATATAAAAAAACCACCAATAAAAGGAAGATGCAACTGAGGCAAATTAGAAGGATGATGAAGAAAGTGAATGCTGTGGTTTCAAAGTTCATATGGTTAACTAGAAGACTCATCTACTCTCACAATCACAGATTGTCCAAATATGTTTTCCAGCTCAGTGTGAATGTAGTTCTCTTGTTCTTTAAGTTTTCTAGAAACAGAAGAATAAAAGGATGTTTTTATTGTTGTTCTTTTGATCAGCTTCATAAAAGATGCTCGGCTTGTTCTGGTGGTGTGGACTCACCCTGGTTAATTTCTCTCCATAAATGTGGTGGGGGCTGAGGTTGGCTAGAGGGGAGACTGAGCTGGGACACGTGGGATTCAGCTCATCTCCCCTCATCCCAAAAACTGTCAAAATCCAGAGGACGGAGGAATTGGAGTAGCTGGAGCCGAGCCCAGCTCCCCATTCTTCCCTCTTCAGTGACATCATAGAATCATGGAACTGTTGAGTTAGGGGGATCGTAGCACCAGCCCAACCCTGCCCATCACCTGAAATCAGAAGAACCACAAAAACCCTCCCCTGGGCTGCAGTCCGTCTATCCTCTCTGGCTATCTATTTTACACAGGTAATGTAGATGTTTCAATGCTACTCTCTCAATTCATCCCACTTTCTGCTTCCCCTGCTGTGTCCACAAGTCCGTTCTCTCTCTGTGTGCCTCTATTCCTGCCCTGCAAATAGGTTCATCAGTAACATTTTTCTAGATTTCATGTATTTGCATTAATATATGATATTTGTTTTTCTCTTTTTGACTTACTTTATTCTGTATAACAGGTTCTAGTTTCATCCACCTCACCAGAATGGACGCAAATTCATTCCTTTTTATGGCTAATATTCCATTGTATATATGTGCCACAGCTTCTTTATCCATTCATCTGTCAATGGACATCTAGGTTGCTTCCATGTTTGGCTATTGTAAACAGTGCTGCAATCAACACTGGGGTACATGGGTCTTTTAGAATCATCCTTACTTCTTTTTTCCTCTACCCTTCCTTTAATCTTCTTTATTCCAGACATGTGGTTAATTAGCTGTGTGTCCTAGAGCATGTACCTCTCTTTGCCTCAAAATGTTCATTGTTAAAACTAGAAAAAGAGGAACTTACTAGTTACTTACTAGCTTTACTGTATGGATTTAGTGAGTTAATCTGAGTGAAGCTTTAAATGGTAACTTCTAAGTATTCCCTAAGTATGTTACTACATTTAAAATTTTCTATGAATAGTCTCTGAATGATATGTTAGCTTTACATAATTAAATATTGCATTCGGGGACTTCTGTGGTGGCACAGTGGGTAAGAATCTGCTTGCCGATGCAGGGGACATGGGTTTGATCTCTGGTCTGGGAAGATTCCACATGCCCCTGGGCAACTAAGCTCATGCACCACAACTACTGAGCCCGCGCTCTAGAGCCTGCGAGCCACAAATACTGAGCTTGTGTGCGGCAGCTACTGATTATGCATGCCTAGAATCTTTTGTCTAACAGTTATCAAGAACTCTACTAAGTATTAAATTCATATTACAGCTGCCTCCTTCACATCTCACATTGCTATTTAATGGGCATCACAAATTTAACATATATACAGAGGAACCCTTATGTTTCAAACTCCCACCACCAAGCAAATGTGACTATCCTTTCTAATTTTTCTGATTTGGTAAATAGTGTCTATACCTCTCCTGGTATATTTCAGAAATATGAAGGTTTCCTTGACATTCTTTTTCATTCACCTATGCAACCCTCAACACAATGCAAGATTCTGTCAGTTCTACCTCCCCCAAATATCTTAAATTTATGCATCTCTTTTCAAGTCCACTGCTGTCACCATTATACAAACCATCACCAATACTTCTTTACACTATATCTACTTGTTACTCTATTCATAGCACATTTGTGCTACCCCTGAAATTTCATACAGCTAACGAGGTGATATTTTATTTGTTACTACAAATACCTCGTACCTCTACTTTAAAAATAACTTGATTGAATTATAATCTAATTTAGAATAAAATAGAATCATTTTGGGATTCCCAGGTGGTTCAGTGGTAAAGAATCTGCCTACCAAGCAGGAGATGTGGGTTCAATCCTTGGGTAGGAAAGATCTCCTAGAGAAGGAAAGGGCAACTGACTCCAGTATTCTTGCCTGGAGAACCCCATGGACAGAGGAGCCTGGCAGGCTATCGTTGATGGGGTCATGAAAGAGTTGAACAAGACTTAGCAACTAAACAATGACTCTTTTACCTCCTGTTGCTCTATATGATTTTCCTTTCCTTTTAAAAACCATTCCAAATCATTTTATTTTTTTCTGGCATTCATTGTACTTCAGCCATATGAAGTCGCTTAGTCACGTCTGACTCTTTGCAACCCCATGGACTGTAGCCTACCAGGATCCTCCGTCCGTGGAATTTTCCAGGCAAAGTACTGCAGTGGGTTGCCATTTCCTTCTCCAGGGGATCTTTCTGACCCAGGGATTGAACCCAGGTCTCCTGCATTGCAGGCAGACGCTTTACCATCTGAGCCACCACTGTCTTTTGGTTCTTCAAACACCAATTATTTTCCCAGTGCAGAGAGAGACAAGCTATTTCCTCTATATGCAATTTGTCCCAGTGATTTCCCACTAACTCTGCACCTGATTAACTCAACAGTTACTTCACAGCTTAACTATCACTTCTACTGAGAACTCTTTCCTGACTACCTGGTGTAAATTAGGACCCCCTATATCACTATGGGCTTCCCTCATAGCTCAGTTGGTAAAGAATCCACCTGCAGTGCAGCAGACCCTGGTTCAATTCCTGGGTCGTGAAGGTCCCCTGGAGAAGGGATAGGCTACCCACTCCAGTATTCCTGGACTTAACCTTATGGCTTAGCTGGTAAAGAATCTGCCTGCAAAGTGGGAGACCTGGGTTCCATCTCTGGGTTGGGAAGATCCCCTGGAGAAGGGAAAGGCTACCCACTCCAGTATTCTGGCCTGGAGAATTCCAGGGACTAGACAATCCATGGGGCCCCAAAGAGTTGGACATGACTGAGCAACTTTCACTTTCTATATCACTATTAAAGTTTTTTTTGTTCCTTGCACCATTTCTCAAGATTTGTAATTTTATAATGTTTTTCCATATATTACTTAATGACAATCTCCCTTAATATATGGGAAATAATATATGCAATGAGAAATAATAGGTAATATAGAGGGAAGAAAAAAATATGAAGGAAGTTTAATGTAGAGAGAGATAAAGTTGAACAGACAAGTGTAATTTGTTTTGATGAAGTCAAGAAGTCAACCAATGGGAAAGAAAACAATGAATTAAAGGTGGTCATGAAGAAACGTTCTTCTGAAATAAAGGGAAGTTATTCTCAATATGAAAAGAGCACTATGCTATTTAAAAAAAAAATCAGTCCAGAAAATTGACATTTAAGTTCTAGGAAGAGAGAGAAATTCATACATATTCAGGGAAAATGACAAATTATCTGCAAGGGTGAAAAGCTCTGTTTGACTTCAGCCTTTTCCACTGTAACATATGAGCCAGAAGACAAAGAAATTATGTTTATAAAATTAAATGAAAAATAAATGTGACTAAATTATAAATTATCCAGCTGATATGAGTTTCAACTATGAAGGCAATTAACAGACATCCTCAAACATCAGAAGACACAAGGAAATAACATTTAGTGACTCTTCTTGGAAAATTTTCCCAGTGGTCAAATGCAGCTAATTGAATATGGAATCAGAATGCAGAAACTTGAAAAGAATAAATTGTGGTAAAGGGAATGATGATGAGCATTTAATTAATTTTCATATAAAATTAAGGCTAAGGACTTGTTGGAACTGAGAATAGAACAAAACATAGTTGTAGTAAGAGTGTAAAAGAGAGTGTAAAAGAGTAATAAAAATAATAATATTTGGCAGGGGGAGGTAGAAGGAAGTATAAGGGCACCAATTATCTCATCTTTTATGGTTACACAGTCAATAAATGCTTAGCATCTAAAAACGGTGTTATAAAGATTCTGTCTTCAGAAATATTACATTCTAGTGAAGGAAAATGTAAATAAATAATTTAACTTAGTCATACATGCTTAAGGGAATCAAATGAGGTTACTTAGATAGAGACTTCCCTGGTGGCTCAGGGAAGCGTCTGCCTACAATGCAGGAGACCCGGGTTCAATACCTGGGGTCAGGAAGATCTCTTGGAGAAGGAACTGGCAACCCACTCCAGTATTCTTGCCTGGAAAATCCCATGGATGGAGGAGCCTGGTGGGCTGCAGTCCATGGGGTTGCAAAGTGTTGGACACAATTGAGTGACTTTACTTTCACTTTCACTTTCACTTAGATAGCAACAAATGTGGGAAGGAAGAGAAAAATTAGCTAGAGTTTCGAAAAAGGACTCTTTGGGAAAATAATTTAATTTTCTGAGTATCTAACATACTGTTGCTGACACTACCATCTTGATGTTTCAAGATTAAGTTTATGTATCAGTTCAGTTTAGTCACTCAGTCGTCCAACTCTTTGTGAATCCATGGACTACAGCACGCCAGGATTCCCTGTCCATCACCAACTCCCGGAGCTTGCTCAACTCATGTCCATCCAGGCAGTGATGCCATCCAACCAGTTCATCCTCTGTCATCCCCTTCTCTTCCTGACTTCAATCTTTCCCAGCATCAATGTCTTTTCCAGTGCATCAGTTCTTCACATCAGGTGGCCAAAATATTGGAGCTTCAGCTTCAGCATCAGTCCTTCCAGTGAATATTCAAGACTGATTTCTTTTAGGATTGACTGGTTTGATCTTGCTGTCCAAGGGACTCTCAAGAGTCTTCTCCAACACCATAGTTCTCTTTGGTTATACAAGTGTAAATGATTTTTTATATTTTCTTTTTCTCATAGTTCATTATTAATGCAGATAAATGTATATAATTTTGCCTATTGATTTTTTGTCTTGCAATTTTACTAAATTTCTTTATTCTAATAAATTTTGGGTGGAGTCTTTAGGGTTTTTATTTATAAGATCATGTCATCTGTAAATAGGGATAATTTCACTTCTTCCTTTGCAATTTGGATGCCTTTTGCTTTGTTTTCTTTTCCAATTGTTCTAGCTAGAACTTTCAGTACTGTGTTTAATAAAAGTGATAAAGTGGGCACACTTGTCTTGTTCTTGATGTTAAAGGAAAAATCTTTCAGAATTTCACTGTTGGGGACATTAAATGTGGGCTTGTCCTATATGACCTTTATTATGTTGAGGTATGTTCTCTTTATGCTTAAATCATTGAGAGTCTTTTTCATGACAGGATGTTGAATTTTATCAAGTGCCTTTTCTGTGTTTATTGGGATGATCATAAGGCTTTTATTCTTCAATTTTTTAATGTGGTATATCTCATTGACTCATTTGCCTATATTGAACCATTCTTGTATCCAAGGAATATAT